CAGTGGTAAGATTAAGTTTCTCATCAATTAAATTACTTGGTTCAAAGGACTAGAAGGATGAAATTCAAGTCAGGTTTGTCACCGAGCCTGACAAACACTTTCCATATATTGAGGTTCATATTCAGTTTTCAGTCTTACAAGTAATGGTCATTTCTGTCTCATGAATTTTTAAATTTTCTGTTCAAAGTAGGTCTTTTCGAATAAACAGCTGATTTAGAATCATGCTTCTTGACATTGACAACACATTAGAATCACCTATAAAACTTTTAATAAAATCTGAATTAACTGGGAAATGGGTCCCAAAGATATTCCTGGGGACTCAAGGTACCACCATATTTGAACCACTGGCCTAGGTTTTCAGTTTTCTTTTTTCCACTGTCTAACTCCAGTTAAAAGACACTTAGTGAAAAGAATATGAGATAGCTCTGTGGCCTAAGTGCCTACCTGGTAAGCACAAGGTCCCAAGTTCAATACCTAGTACCAAAATTTTAGAAAGGAAGTTATAATCTAAGAGCAGAAAGGCCCTATTTCAATCCCAGTATTGAAAATGAAAATAAAGGAACCAGAATCACCATGTAATGATTTTCAATCACTTTTTAATGCCAATGGAAATATTTATTTTCTCCTAAAATTCTTCAGTAATTATTTCTATTACATACAATAAATATATTCAGTTTTTACATATGTATTAAATTCTTATTTAGCTTTCAGGACTTATACTCCAAAATGGCTTATTTGAAATCTCTGGATTGAAATCTCTGGAGTATCTAAACACTTTGATAAATAGTAGGTGTTAAGTCGGCCTTTTTTTTTTTTTTTTTCTTTTTCTTTTTTTCTTTTTTTGCAGAACCAGGGATTGAACTCAGGCCCTTGCGCTTGCCAGGGAAGCGCTTATTCCACTGAGTCATCTCCCCGGCCCCAAGTCAGCCTTTTAACCAATCTCCTCAATTGCATCATTTTTAAAATTCTGTGGTTAAAGTTTTTCACATAAACAGAAAAGTGTGCCTTGCTTGGGGAGGGGTGTGGTCCAGGGCTTCTTGGAACACATGCATAGTCCCAGGCTGGCTATAGCAATTAGAGGGCTGGTGGCAGTGGGCAGAGCCTGCCCTGTCTGGTTTTAGGTGAGAATTGAAATTACCACTGCTGGAAGACACAGACCTCTAGAGCTGCAGATTTGCAGTCTTGAAAGGGGCGATGCAGGCTGTGAGAAATGAGCAGCGAATCCATTACTCAGTTCAAGGACTCTGATAGTGATGAGGATTTTGCTTCTGCTACTGTACTTTTAAACAAGAACTGCAGAACACCAAAGTGTTAAAACACAAAATGATCAATAACAGATCAAGGACGTCCTACGATAAGAGAAAACTCTTTTAAAAAGGCTGGCCTTAGATGACAAGATTGTCCAGAGAGGCTCAGAAGCTGCTCTAGCTTTATTCGTGAAGGAACGGAGTCCAGCAGTCACAGATGATGTGCGGAAGTCTCAAGATAAAAGCTTGGAAAATGTAGAAATCGTAAAATAATGTCTCATCATATAGCTGGTGATTATTTACATTTAGACAAGATTACAGAGGAAGGTCATACCGTGGTAATCAAGGGAAAAGAAAAGCAGTGTCTAAAGCTGCAACTCGGCAGAGAAAGATGCTCTTGGAAGGCAGTGCCGATGACACCGGGCAAGACGATGCCGCTGGGGAAGCTCCTGAGAATAATTCTCTTGAGAGTGAAGATGAAGGAGAAGACTCCAGTAGGAGGAAAACAAAAAAAGTGAAATGACTGGAGTAGACTCTTCTCCATGAAGATCAAATCAGAATCTCAGTCCTCACCAAAGGTTTCTTTTTCGTCAGAGATCACTAGGAAACCACTACAGATACACAGTTCTTCACCTGAAAGCAAGAGACCAAAGTGGGTCCCACTAGCATCTAGAAGTAGCAGCAAGGACAATAGCCCACTGGCAGGCAAGACTGTTAAGTTCCCAAATCAGTGTCTTTGCCTTGATTATCCAGCTTAGTATGAGTTAAACCCCTACATGCAAAGGCCAGTAGTAGCCAGGTGTGACAGGAGAGAAATGTTTAATTGAGAGACTCACAGCTTTGGAAGTGTGTTTATATGTGATTTGCATTTATAGTAGAGGAGGGTATTCTAATACAGGAGTCCTTTACATGTCATATAAATGATCTTTACTCATTTGGCAGTTAATTGTCTTATACCATTCCTTCTAAAGAGCATATTCTGTTTTCTTATGCATCATAAATTCTCTTCTAGTGGCTTTGTATTCCATCCCAGCTTTGTCTAGTTTTGACCATTATCATCTCTTTCAGGAGGTATTTCTGAACTCCTACAGCTATTTAAATTAGGTTGTCGGTTTTACTGCATGATTGGTATTTTGAACAAATCTTATGAGTTTGAAACTATTTTACATATGCAAATGGTTACTATACTATAGAATGTGTCCCCTATTCGGAAATAAATGGTTCTGTTGTTGTCCAATAAATAGAAAATTTAATTATATTTTACCGATTAATCACTCTCAAATATCTTAAATAAAAATGAGAAAATTTCGAAAAAGTGTCTTGACATAGTTTAAAATGAAAGCTGGTATGTGTCGGTGTGTGCTTCTGTGATATTGGGAATTAAAGGCAGGGCCTTTGCACTGAGATACATCTGCAGCCCTTTATTTTTTATTTTGAGAGAAAATACCACTAAATTCATGAATTGCCTGGGCTAGGCTCAAATTTGGCGTCCTTTTGCCTTAGCTCTCCTAAATGCTGAGACTGGGCATATATCACAGTGCCCAGTTTTATTTTTCTTTTTAATGTATTTAGTACAGAGTCTACAGGGTTTCACTATGTAGATTGGACTTGTAGTGATCCTCCTGCTTACGGCCTCCCAAGGGCTGGGATTACAGGCATGCACCAGCACGCCCAGTGTCAATCACTGTCTCAATGTGCCCTGGGATCAAACCACCCCCATCCTCCCACCCCCTACTCCCCCACCCCTCCACCTGGACCTCTGAGTCTGCCTCAGCAGGTGCTTTAATCCCCTGAGCTATATGGTCAGCCCTACCGTGCCCAGTTTTAAAATGAAAGCTTATTTATTTTTTTAATTTTTGTTTTTAGAGATAGGGTATTGCTATATATTCCAGGCTGGCCTCAAACTCAAACTATCCTCCTGTCTCAGCCTCCTAAATGCTAGGATTACAGGCATGCAACACTATGCCTGGAGTGTCTTCAAATTTGAAAGTGCTTTTACAATTATTCTGAGTTTTCATTTTATATCTCAGAAATAAAAAGTGTTCTTGAATTTTTTAGCAGAACATTACTGTGGTTATTAAAAGTTTGTATTTTAAGTTGTATTGATAGTTCTTAATAGTTTGTATTGTAAGATAAAGTAGTATTGCCTCATGTTTGAATAATTGCATTTGTAGATTTGCATATATGATCGTATTAATGAATTCTGTTTTTTCTTCAAGATTGAAACTATAATTTATACATTAAATATTAAGGCAACCTGGCTTTCACCCTCTAACTACTTTCCAATCTGTCTTGTGATCTTCCCTTCTTATTTTTTCAATCCCTAATATTTAGCCAAGTGACATTAAAATGGTTCGTGTTATTTAAATACTTAAATTCTACAAATTAAAGCAAGTCATTGCATGTCTTTTAGCAATTTTAAGGTTGTCCAGCATCAAGTATTTTAGGTAAGGAAACAATAGTAATACATCCAGTGGAAACATGGAATTTTAGGAGGTAGAAGGTAGTTATTAGAATGTTTTAAATTTGAATAGTAATTGATGTGAACTATTATCATTGTCCTGAATCCCAAAGAAAATAACTCAGGTTCGTCATGAGAACTGAGTTGAGATGGATCAAGCCAATATCTACCGGAGCTGGGGAGCCAGCTCAGTGGAATAAGTGCTTGCCTGGCAAGTACAAGGTCCTGAGTTTGATCCCTGGTACCACAAAAAATAAAAAAAATTTAAAAAAGAAAGCCAACAACTAGCAGTGTGGTGCTTTGCCACATTGACCTAGGGTTAGGATTGGGGAGGACAGCACTCAAATCATTTGCAGGATGACTGTTTGCATCCCAGTGAAGAGAGACGTTATGTATCTCCTACTGCCAGTGTCAGCATTACAGATATTTCTAAAGAAGTACTGTGAAGCCCATTTGTTACTGTATAGTTGAGACTACTAAACAGCTTGGAAGCAGACACTATTAATTATATGCTCCACCTTACTACCAAAAGCAAATGACTTCCATTTTTAGTACAAGAGTTTCCACTTAGACCACAGTGTACCCCTTCTTTTATAATAAATTCGTAATCATTTTAATTAGCCTCATGGCTATTTTTAAGGTTAGCTGGTAAAGAACAGTATTAGTATAATTGTTATTGTTTGTTTGAAACCTTATCTGTTTGTAACTTGTTCCTTTATAAGCTGTCATTCAGGCTCTTTCCTGTGATAAAATTATTCCTTTTGTGGCCTGCTTATAACGCAAGTTGAAATTTGGGGGTAGATATGTATTCTATTATGGGAAAAATAAAGAAACATTGTCCCATAAGAAAACCAGGTATCAGGCCGGCAAGACAGCTCAGCAGACTAAGAGCCTGCCTGGGCAAGCGCAGGGATCATAGTTCAATCCATGGCACCACCAATCTCTGGCACCACATGCTGTGCTGGCCCCACCCACCCCCAGGCATGCTGAGCCAGCCACCAAGACCAGGCATGGTGGTGCATGCCTGTAATCCCAGCACAGGGGAGGCTGAAAACAGGAGGATCACTACAAGTCTGAGCTGTGTAGTGAGACCCTATACCAAATACATTTTAAAAAAGGGTATCACTTCAGAATTTTTAGTTAATTCAAATGGCAAAAAACTGTGGCTGTATTTCTTTGTACAAAGGAAAATCTTTTGAAATCACTGTTTATTTTTCTAATATGGAAAAAAATACAACTTAATTTTTTAAGTTGATGAACATTGGAATAATTATTTACTTTTTTTTTTGCAGAAATACCTCCTAAACTTACTGAAATAAAGAGCAGTGATTCACCTCCTAATGAAGATCCAAAGGTAATTGTCTTTTCCTAAGAATTTAAAACATTCTGTATAGTATTAGCTCTCTTTAAAATTATTTTCCATAAAAAGTTATTTCTTCTTAAAAATTAAAGAAACCAGCTTTATTTTTCTAATAAGATGTGTTATATAAGCCAAATAGATAAGAAGAACACCTTCCACTTAGATTCAAATCTGGATAGAGGAGATACCTGGTGTGTGCACAGTAGGATGTGTAGTAATATGTACATAGTAGGAATTTCTCAGGAACCGCTGGTAAACAAAAGGCAGTTAGGATTTCTCTAAATAAAGTTTATAAATGCCAGCTATCAGTTTTAGTATGTTTAATAGTTAAGAGGAAAAGAAATAATTTTTGTGCTAGTTCAAGTTGTTACCTTCATATCAAAGTTTTAGCCTATGTGTCCATCTGAAATACAGAATTACAGTAAATGTATGTAACATCTAGCTAGGTTTGGGAAATACAACAATAAATAACAACCATGAAGAATTCTAAGTTGTCAAAAGGAAAGTAATCACAGGAGATTATGTAATATAATCTATATTCATAATTATAATTAAGAAACATAATGTAGACTACTTTCACCAAGGACATAATGCTTAAATGATTAGTCTATTTCTATACAGATTGGAGATTTCTAAAACAAAAGTAAAAGCCTGACGAGAGGCAAACAAGGCCTAGCAGTGTGTTCTGTGACATCTTAGGGTATTTATAAAGGATGTGAGACCTTGAGGGATAAAGTAGAGCTTTGCACACTCCGGTGAAGTGCTGGGATATTTCACATGGTAGGCAGGATGTGCTCTCAAGGAGTTCTTTCTAAAATGAGATGATCCATCTCGCAGTAGGAATTAGTAGAATCAGAACATTACATCAAGTTATGAAGTAGCTCTATAAGCATTCTCTAGTTAGCATATAAAATGCCACTTTATGAACTGTTTTGGCCAGAGTTCTTTGTTGTTTTTTTTTTCAGTTTGACTCATTGAGGGATAAAATAGCCATTTATAATAAAGGAGAGTATATTACTCATATGTTTATGAATGAAGACATATATTTGTGTATTTCATAGTGATTATTCACCGATTTAATCCTACACATTTGACTTGTACCTTTGAGCCTGGGGTCCTTGTTATTGGGATAAACCTTCCCATGGCACTTGCTTTATTGAGACTAGCAGAGGTTTTGTCTTGCACAGATGTTATTCACTGATTTGTCCTGTCTACTCAGTCACTCCAGTTCCCTTATTCATCAGAGGAGAAAGACTATTCTATTGATTAAAACTCTGAAAGATAACTTTAACTTTGTCCTGCCAGATACAGTCTTCTGTGCAAGACAAGCCCTCTTCTAACACTTCCCCGGTTCACCAGACCGCACCGAATCACCACAAGTTAGCATTCAATCAAGAGTTAGAATGTGTACAGACTCTGGAAAACAGTGAACCTTTACAGATACAGCCTCCTTCAGGTAAGAAGTTGATGAATAACTGTGACTAAGAAATTTCTAAACCTATATTTAAGAACGCTACGGCCATCATAAATGTTGCCTATCTCAGAAACACTGAAAATTCTAACTAGTAAACCCCACGTTGTAATCATAAAGCATATTATTAGAACTCCATTGCTCGATACCGTAGGCCAGTGTTGACAAACCTATATGATACATGCTGCAGCTAGCTGTTTGTCATCATTGAAAGCTGTAAAATATGTGCATTCACTGTTGTAGGCACTCATTCCATTTATTTTTTATTTTTGTATTTATTTATTTTTTTGGTGTTGTTCTTTTTTTGTGGTACCAGGGACTGAACTCAGGACCTTGCACTTAAACTCAGGCAGGCGCTTACTCTACTGAGCTATCTCCCCTTCCCTGGCACTCATTCTATTTAAAAGAAAGGAAAAAATTAAAGAAAGAATATCCTCCCAGTATAATTTACACTCAGTTTATTTTCATGTATATTATATACATTGGCACATGGACTATATAAAAAAGCCTACTCCTACCCAAGTATACACAGCCAAGTTCTTAGCAGACTTGGGAAATGCTTCTGAAACATCACTGAGTCAGAAAAGTATGGTATGAGAGAAAATGTCTTACGGCCAGGCCAGCCTGATAGCTCGGCGGACTAAAGTGCCTGCTTAGGCAGAGTGCAGTGCCCGGGGTTGGATTCCTGGTGTGCTGTGCCAGCCCCACCCCCGGGGTTGTGCCGAGACTGCGATTGAGACTGGACATGGCGCCCGCCTATAATCCTAGCACTTGGGAGGCTGTAAATAGGCAGATCACTATGAGTCCAAGCTAGTAGTAAGACCTTGTACACCCTGTAGATCCTGTCCTAGGTACAGAAAAGAAAAAAGAGAAAAGAAAAAAAAAAAAAAAGAAAGAAAGAAAGAAAGAAAGAAAGAAAGAAAGAAAGAAAGAAAGAAAGAAAATGTCTTATGGCCATCCTGGAGGTCATTCCAGAGTAAAGAAACAAAACTCCAAAGTATAAAATGCTTATGTCCATCTTTTTACAGTAATAAAATTTTGATGTACTTCATAGAAGGGTATGCATATATGGTAGTTCTGAGTAAGCAGTACTAAAGTTGAGTAATTTATTACAATTGTATGCAACACCAAGCTTGGAACAGGAACATGAAAATATCAAGATTTTAGGGGTACAACATGAGGACCCAGGTTCAGTCCACAGCACCACAGAATGAACAGAAGGAATTTATTAGGATGAGCTTGCCATCTGCTTTCTAGAGGCTGGACGAAAATAAGGATACACTGACATAATTAAAACCAAATAAGGTCACTGAATGCTGTTGTCTAGGAAATAAATTATTACAGCCAAACCAAATACAGGAGCCAAGAAAGCCTGGGGATTAGGAAAGATTCCCTTCCGGTCCCCATACTGAGGATTGAACCTAGTACTTTCTCACTGAACTCCATTCAAAGGCCTTTTTTATTTTCTGTTTTTGTTACTTTGAGACAGGCTTACTAAATGGTGCACTGGGCTTGAATTTATTATCCTCTTGCCTCAATCTCCCAGAGTTCTGCAGTTACACGTGTACAGGGCCACATCTAGCAAACAGATAATTTTTGTGAGAATTAACAGAATAAGAGGCCTATCAAGAAATTGTCTAATAGTTGGGAAAATAAAAGGCAGAGTTCATTTGGGACATTTATGAGTGGCTGAAGAATATTTAACTGAAAATACAAAAATGAAAATGGGTTTCTGGAGCTAACAGGGAAAGACAGGAAATTTAATTTAAGAATTGCCAATAGATAATAACTACTTGAGGCCATGAAAACACTAGAAAAATGTTCAGATTAGGAAAAGGCTGGGGACAACATGCTAGGAAATTTACAATGCCTCAGTAAATTAGAAGAAATTAGTAAATTGAAGAAGGGCCAGGCATGTAGCTCACAGGTAGGGTGCTTGGGTTTAACACTGTCACTACAAAAAAAGTAAACTGGGTGCAGTGATATGAGCCAATAATCCCAGCTACTCTGGAGGCAGAGGCAGAGACAGGAGGATTGTAAGGCCATCCTAGGTAACAGAGTAAGGCCTTGTCTCAAACTAAAAATGAGATACTCAAAAAGTAGGAGAAAAAGGGAAATGGTATAATATAAAAATATTACATACTGCAGAGCATTCGGGTTGGGTAAAGAAAAGTGAAAAGGATTAAAATTTGCAATATGAGAAGGTTTGCTTTCACAAAAGTTTTTGTTTTTCTTCTAGTACTGAGGATCATATTTAGCTACATCCACAGCTCTTTTTGTATTTATAAATATTTAAATTATAAATACAATTGGTGAACATTGAATATGTTTAAAAGTTAGTGAGAAAAAAGCAGTAGTGAAAATTGTTTTCGCTAGAATATGTTTATAGGAGAATGATAAATAGATGTAACCTTGAAAAGGAATAGAAACAATGAAAACAATGTTAGTGTAAGATGTTTTTATTTGCTTTAAGAAAACACACTATCTAGGAAGAAACAGGATTTTATGACTCTTCAGTAAGGATTAGACTGTTGTATCACCTCATTGTGCTTGCGCTTCTGTGATGCCTGTCAGTGGCACAGCGGTCCCTCCCTGATGGGGGAGGTCAGGTTCCAGACACCTCCCAAGAGTGCAAATCAACGGAGTAGTGATGTTATATTTATTTTAGTATTTATGTATATTTATATTTGAAGGCTTTATAAACCCTTCCCACACTTTTAACACTTCTAATGGTTTTAACCATTTTCTTGTTTGTTTGTTTTTTTTGCGGAACCAGGGATTGAACTCAGGCCCTTGCGCTTGCCAGGGAAGTGCTTATTCCTCTGAGCAATTTCCCCGGGCCCCACGTCTTAACCATTTTCTAAACTTGTAAGCCTACATAATTTTAACAAATAGTATCACATGGATACTATATGATACTGCAAAATCCCACAATATAGTGAAAAATCCACTGTAAATAATTTAGATTAATATTTTTTGAAAACCCACAAACAATGAGTTCATGAATGTAGAACCACGAAATAGCGAGGGACTACTGTATACCATGCTGTAAAGGAAGCTTGGATGATACTATAATTGGCTGCTCATTCTACTGTAATATTTACCAACTGTAGGTGGCGATATGCCTAAGGGATTGCAAGTAAATATAAACTATAAAATATATATGGACATTTACTTTTCTGTAGTTTATTCTCAATGGAAATAATTTTTAAATCTTACTTTAGGTTTAAATAATTTTAGTGCTAAATTTTTATGCTGAAGTTTTCTTATTGGAAAAATAGTTTGACAAAATTTTCTTCATTCCTTTGCCTTAGATGTCTCATTTTTTTCCTTGTGAAGTTTTTAGTCACAAAACAAAAAAAGGGGATACAAAGGAAGGACCATTTTGTATGTGTATATACACAGAATAGTTAGGATAGATATACAGCTACTTTCGCTAAATTCAATGAGAAGAAAGATTTGTACTAATGGTGTTTGGACAGGATATCCTGTCTGCTTCTTGTACTATGGATAACCACTAAGAAGATAACAATGTACAGTGTATTGACTATCAAAACTGTCCTATTCATCAGCTGTGAAACTGTCTCGTTGCTATTTGTTTCTCAGTAAAATAAAATAAAGTTTTTAGTCACAAAAGATTTATGATCTTACCTTTTTTTTTTTTTTTTTGGTGGAACCGGGGATTGAACTCAGGCCCTTGCGCTTGCCAGGGAAGCGCTTATTCCACTGAGCCATCTCCCTGGCCCCAATCTTTATAGCTTGTCCTTTATTCTTCTAATTAAAAATGTCAACTTGAATTCACATGATGAAACAGTAAATTCAGCTGTTTGCCCACCAATAGAAGCTACCACCTTATTTAAAGTAAAAACAATGCCTTAAATAAAAGTGAAATTTAAGAGGACCAAGAAAGTAGAATTACAAGCTCTCTCTGGCAGATGCACATGTTACAGAATTGAATGTAGGTGAACATATTTAGGCAACTAAAAATTCAGTATGACTAAAATGTTGGTGGAGGCCAGGGAGATAGCTCAGCAGTTTAAGCACCTGCCTGACAAGTGTAAGGACCTGGGTTCGATCCCCGGTACTGCATGCCATGTAGACCCTGAAACCCAGTGCATGCTGTGCCAGCCACTGAGACTGGATATAGTGGCACACGCCTGTAATCCCAGCACTGGGGAGGCTGAGACAGGAGGATCATTAGGAGTTGGAGCTGCATAGTGAGACCCTGTACCAAATAAATAAATAAATCTTAAAAAAAATAAAATGTTGGTTGGATAAATGGGAATATGGGGAGATAAATGTGGAAAGCAAGATCACGTACAGATCATAAAGAACTTAGAATCTTGGAATTTTACTTCTCTGGGTAGTGGAAAACCGGTGAAGGTCTTTGGGTGAAGGTCTGCAGAACCATACAGTATCCATGTGTTGTTAAAAGAGGGTGCGCTTTAAGGTAACTAATCTTCCAGGATTATGGAGGCTTATTGAGGAAGTGAGTCCCAGAGACCACAAGTGGCAATCAGTTGAGCTGTTGCAGTTATAGGGGAAAATCTGAAGGAAAGGATAGAAAAAGAAGAGAGCTGAAAATAATTACAAGGATAAAATAAGGAGTGTTACAAGTGAGGAAAATATACTAGGTTAATAACAATGGAAGGAACAGAGAGCCCTGGTGATGCACAGGACGCTGGCTGGATACTGGTCCAGGATAACAGAGCTGGAGAAGGGAAGAACAGGCTCCTGAAGAAAGATGGCATTTTAGTGTTTTGAGATATCGGGGAATCATGTAGATGTTTTTCTCAGAGAGGTGGTCCCTTGGTAGAGTTCTAGACATCTGGGTCGCTATTTTCTCAATCATCCGCTTTCTGAATATTTTTATCTGACTACCTTTAGATGTTGGTAATATTCTAAGTTCCATCTGTAACCTTAAATTTAGCTTTTTCTTCTACTCCAGAGCTTCTAAAACACAGGCTTACAGAGCTGGTGTTCTCTTCAGTGCTCATAACAATGTGCTGGGACTAGCCTTGCTGTGCACCCAGGCGTGCCAAGCCTTCGTCCTTTTTTTTACATAGCACCATGTGCGGAAGATTGGGAAGCCTTTCTTTGTAATCTTAATGTGTGTGATTTTTGTTCTTGTTTTTACAACTCAAATGTATCTATGCACAGGCATGCTTTTACAAATCTAGTATCTTTAAATAGCATATGAAAATTGAAAATGTAGGCATGTAAAAACTGGAAATGCCCCCTTTCAATCTTCAGATTTTACTCTTTTTAGTTCATGGCAATGGCACTGTTAACCACTTATCAACTCAGTATCAGCAAACTGACACTCATTTTACAATTTCCTTCACTTGCCATGTACATTTTCTACTTCCTAATAACATCTGACTCCAAGGGAAGTAGTCATGTTCTTAACGCACCCCCAGCACATGCCATCCGCCCCACTCCTCAGTGTTCTTCCATCTGTGCCTCCCTTGACAGTGTGGTTCTCCCTTTGCTCACTCCACCCTTGATGTTTCTTACCCTCTTCTCCAGGCTTAACTTGAAGGAGTGTAATTTAGTCAGAGAATGGTCGAGGGACTGGGTGGTGGTAGAAGCTTCAGTACGAGTTCCTATAGGACACAGATGGCTTGGCTTTTGTGAGCTTGAGTTGGTTAACAAAGATAGCAACTTAGTTTTGATTTGTTCTCTCTGTACCTTTGCCACTGATTAGACTATAGAAAAGAAAAATAAAAATTTAAACAGAATTTATCAATTCTCATGCAACAGGATGTTACTGGTTGCACAAGAGAGAAATGACAGAAAACTCAGCCCAAACTGAAATAATAAGGAATTTGCTTTCATACACTGCCAATGGTCCAAAGATAGGTCACTCATTTATGCATGGTTTGATCATAGTTCAAACTATTCCTAAACTTTTACTTATAATAGTAAATGAAATTTACTATTCTAAGTTTCCCAAACTATTTACTTATAATAGTAAATGAAGTTTTGTCAGAAAAACCTAGAAGTTAATGAGATTATTCACAAGCCACTGGGTTCAGTCTGCAACATCTCCCATTCACCCAAAAGAAAAATACAAGTATTATCAGGATTTCATAGTTTGTTTGCTTGGCCTCAGAGAAGCACAGTTGTATCCTATCCTGCTATGTGGGTGCCATTTTAGTTCTTACCTTCTTTGTGTTCTGATTATTCTCAAATTGGCAACCCAGGTAGCCCTGCAGTGGCCCATTGTTTCTGAAGTTACTGCGGGTCGGGTAGAGTTGTTGTGATTGGGTTGGCCTAATCAAAACCCACCTCTGGAGCTGAAGACAGTCTACAAATTCAAGGGAACTATGACATGGAAACAGATAAAATGAGTTTTGACAGGTCACCCATAACACCCATCAGCTATACTTGATGCTGATCAAAACAAGAACAGACAGTGCCTTCTTAGGCGGACACAGGGACCTGCATTTGATCCCAGATGTGCTCTGCTGGCCCTGCCCCCTCAGGGCATGCAGAGATGGAGACCGAGACGGCATGGTGGTGCATGCTTGTAAGTCCAGCACTTAGGGGGCTGAAATCAGGAGGATCATTACGAGTCCAGTCTGTGTAGTGAGACCCTGTAGAACCTGTACCAAATACATTTTTTTAAAAAAGAAAACAAGAGATCACTTTCAAGTGAGACATATCTAGAGTATAACGAACACCCAACCAAGAATACTCCAAAGCTAAGATACATCAACTGTTCTTTTATTTTCATAGTGTCTTAACTGAAAGGGAAAAAAAAAAAATCAAATTCTGGATAAGTAAGATGAAGTATTTAATTACACCATTCTAAAAACTTGCTCTTCTAGATGATTCCAAACAGCTTCCGAATGGCCCAACTGCAGTGCAGCCGGCTGGCGACGGTGGCACGGTGCTGGGAGAGGGTGAACATCAAGCTCCTGTGCAGAAGGTAAAAGTAATGGCATTTTTCCTCTCATAAATGTTGAAGGGATTTAGAATTATGACTCAGACAAGAGATGTTTTGGGGATTCTAGTCCTCATTTTTGTTTATGCAATTTTAAAAAATTAGTATTCCCTACCATGGTCTCGTGTTTATGTTTCAATGCTGATTCTGTAATATTAATATTCGTTCGTTTCCTTTTCCTCCTCCTTCTCTTTCTCCCTCCCTCCCCCCTCTCTGTCTCTGTTTCTCTGTCTCTCTCTGTCTCTCTCTGTATGTGTGTGTGTCCACTTTCGAATCCAGAGCCTAGCGCATGCTGTACCATTGAATCTACATCCCCCAATTTATTTTAAAGCAGAATGTAAAACCACCTGTTGAAGTTGAGTGTAGGGGATTTCCTAATGGGGTCTTATTTAATCTTCAAGCCACACATTGTTATTCTTTAAACAAATATTCCAGATGTCTAGGGTACTAAATGTGCCAGATACTATTGTAGGCGTTTAAGTTTAATTACCAGGAACTATGAAGGAGATATTTACATTTCTCTTTCTAATCTTGCCTCTCCTCCACTACCTTATTCACCTTCTCCCTGTGCCTGTTTTTCTCCCTCTTTTCCTTCCCTTTCTTCTTCCCTCCTCCTCTCCCTCTCTCCTGTACCCTTTACCTCTTCCCTCTCTTTCTCTTTTTCCTTGCAAGTTTCAGAAGACAGATCTCAGCCTTCATATTTGAGGTTATTGTTTGGCCACACATATAAAATGCAATATTTAGGGGCTGGGGAGATAGTTCAGTAGAATAAGCGCTTCCCTGGCAAGCACAAGGGCCTGAGTTCAATCCCCGGTTCCACAAAAAAAAAAAAAAGCAATATTTTACTGCACAAAACATAATGATTTGGCTTTTGCATGTAGTACTTTGATTTCTTACATAGTGCTCTACTGGTGGCTGTCATTCAAGAACTGTGTTATTGCTAAGTATGGATTAAAGATCCCTTTTCTGAAACCACCATTAATTTTCTATTTTACTGGGTTTGATTTTAACTGTCAGAGTATTGTCTAGCCCCTGTAGGTCAGAAGGAATAAGTGCTATAGAGTTCCTTCAATCAAATATTTTTTCCTAAATATATATATAGGATAAATATATATATATATATATATATATCCTAGTAAACTTTGTCCAGAATAGAGTTTGAAAAAATTAAGACATTTTCAAAAGAACAGGGATTACAGCAGAAATAAGCAGTAGAACACCAAGTACTGTGCATGCCATACCGTCAAAGCTCAGGCTGCGGGTGAACATGACACATCTACTTAATTTTATTCCCATTGCCTACCATACAGTGGGAACTGAAATGCTGGGACAATGCTTAAGAGGAAATAGGAATGTATAGTTTGTTACTTCACAAAAATGTTCTCACACACTGTTTCTTTTTTTTTTTTTCAGTTGTCTTTGTCATTGGTTTTATTTGGCATTTGGTTTTATTTCTGGATGTAAACAAAGCTGACTTCATCTCACATACTGTTTCTGTTGACCTCATCTCCTACCTTTGACCCCTCACTATCAGCATCTGTTAATGTGTGTCTTACATTGAAATAATTGGTGGCCATGCGGCTTTCAGTTTTCTTAGAGGAATACTTGAGTTCTTACTCTGTTTTCATTTTGCTCCTGACTTAGTAACATTTAGTAAAGGTCCATTAATTCCTTTCAACTCTTAATCTGATCTATTACTGGATCAAGAGATACTGTCTTCCTTCTAAAACTTGGCTGACACAGACTGCGAACTGAATCATATATTTCTTTTAGGATATAAAGATTAAGAATGCAGATTCTTGGAAAAGTCTAGGCAAACCAGTGAAAACATCAAACATACTGAAATCTTCAGATGAGCTCTTCAACCAATTTAGAAAAGCAGCAATAGAGAAGGAAGTAAAAGCTCGAACACAAGAATTAATAAGGAAGCATCTGGAGCAAAACGCAAAGGAACCAAAAGTGTCTCAGGAATATCAAAGGTCTGTAATTTACTGGATTGACCCCTTAATGGTTTACCCAGATTGTCACTTGGACAGCGCTTTGTTTACCTACTGACTCTCCAAGTGTCGCTCAGGCAGGTGTCATTTCAACCAGTTAATTCTTGTATTGAATAGATTTGATAAAACTGTCGTTTTTATATTTCCTATTATCTTATAAAAATTAACAAAAAGGGGGCCAGGGAGATGGCTCAGTGGAATAAGCACTTCCTGGGCAAGCGCAAGGGCCTGAGTTCAATTCCCAGTTCTGCAAAAAAAAAAAAAAAGGATGCAGTTTTTGGTTATCCTATATTTAAATAATTGGACTGGTAAGTGGTTAAGAGAGATTGGACAGCATAGGAATGTATCTAAAAAATTGTCAAGAAACTATGTTTAGTAGAACACAGAACAAATTATAATTTTTAAAGTACATTTTATTGATTTTTTTTTCTGAACATGGGTATGTACTGTTTTAAAAACATAGAATAAATTATTATGGGCTGGACATATAGCTTAGTGGCACAGGGCCTGCCTGGCAAGCACAAGCTGTCCAGAGTTCAATTCCTGGTACCAAAAAAAAAAAAAAGAGAAGTGATTAAGCTAGTAAATATACAAGCACTGCCTAACTATAAACACATTATTTTCCAGAAATGTGTTACAATTTTCTCATTCCGTATGTAAGAAGAGAATGGTGGGAAATTACATAGGTTAAAATTAAGTTTGGTCACAGTTTTATAAAACTTTTTGTTGTTGTCTTTAATTTAGATTATGCTAAGTAAAACTTGACACATAAAGTGAAATTTAAAAACATCATAGTGTGGGGAAATAGTATCTAACATACAGTGGTCCCTCACTTATCGCGGAGGTTACATTCCAGACAGCCCTGTGATAAGCGAAAATCAGTGAAGTAGCGGCATTGTATTTATTTTTGTATATTTATATATACATTTTAAGGCTTTATAAACCTTTCCCACACTTTTAAAAACACCTCTAATGTTCTTAATCATTTTCTAAACTCGTAAACCTATGTAGTTTTAACAACATACATATACTGTAACTACCACAAAATCCTGCAATAGAGTGAAATATCCATGATAGTTAATTTAGATTGTTTTTTGAAAACCCACAAAACAGAGAGTCCGTGAAAGTCAAACCATGAAATAGCAAAGGAATACCGTATTGCTCTATGTTTGTTGTTTAATAATGTATCTTTCTAATAAAAACTTTTAAAGAACTTGAAATCTACTTTGAACTTTATTGTTTCTTTAAGGGACTTTGGAAACGGACTGACTCTAGAATTTTTTTCAAACAAACCACAAAACAAGTGCCTTGGAGAAGAACAAAAAGAACCTCAGCAGTCCTCGGAAGCTCAAGATAAATGCAAGCTCTGGCTTCTCAAAGACCGTAATTTAGCAAGGGAGAAAGAGCAAGAGAGGAGGAGGAGAGAAGCAGTAAGTGAATTTTAGTTTAACAAAATGAGCGATTTAACAGAGCACTGTCTTTTATATATTCAAAGATTCATTCAGGGTGGTTTTCAGACATGTTGCAGTTGTTTGATGAGTGTCAGGTCCTAAAATCAGAGCTTAAGTACTCAAAACAGGGACTGTAAATATAGAGTATTGATGTTGCAGCTGCCAGAGTGACAGTTTGGATTAAAGCCTGGGTTCTGCTATTTACCAGACTTTTGTGTTTTGGAAGTTTAATCACTCTGACTTGAGTTGGTCATTTAGAAAGAGGAACTCATAAAACTGTTTTGAAAATAAAATGTAATTAACATGCATTAAGCGAAATGATTTGCCACATTATTACTCATGAAAATTACTTATTACTCTAAGTCCTTTGTGAATAATAATAATAATTATTACTCTAAGTCCTTTGTGAATAATAATAATAATAAACAATAACAATAATAATACTACAGTTAGTGCTGGTTCCAGATCAGCATTTCTTTGAATGGTAGATCAAGAAATTGGTTTGATTTGACACTTCTTTATACAGGAGGTTTTTTGGTTTTTGTTTTTTGGTTTTGGTTTTTTTTTTATGGAGCCAGGGGTTGAACTCAGGCCCTTGTACTAGCCAGGCAAGCGCTTATTCAACTGAGCTATCTCCCCGGCCCCGCATATAGGAGATATTTATAAAACTAGAATTGATTATAGTTAAAAGTATTAAGTTTTCAAATATTTGCGAATTTTATGACTAGTGATTTCTGTTAGTGGTTTCTAATTTAATTTCATTATGATAAGAGAATAGTGTGTAATTTAAATATTTTGATATGTTGATACTTGTTTTGTGGCGAATTTTATACTCTAGCTTGGTAGATATTCTGCTGCTAGATATAGGTTGAGTATCCAACAGCATATAACAAATCTACTATGCCCTTGCTAGTTTTCTCTATTTGTTCTGTCAGTTATTGGAAAAAGAGCTTTGCCATCTATGATTACAGAACTGTTGATTTGTCCCTTTATCTTTAGAATTCTGTTAATTTTATTTTATGCATTTCTAAGCTGTTGATAGGTAGCTAAACAGTTGGGGTTACTAGTCTCATGTCCTATGGAATTTCCCTTTTTTTCCATAATGAAATTATCGTTATTTCTGGCAATATTGTTTACTTTGAAGGGTTTTTTTTTTGGGGGGGGTGAAGGGTCTATAGCATACTTTGAAGTTTAATATAGACTCTATGTTTTTGTGACTAGTGTTGGCATGATAAAATTCTATTTCTTAAAATGTTCCAAATTTCTTATTTTGTGTATTTATTTCCATAGTTAACATTTCCCGTGCCCTTTTTCTTCTTTTTCTTTCAGTACTGGGCACTGCACATTCTATTATGCAAGCATTCTACAATTAAGCTATACCCCTGGTCCTTTTTACATATATATATATATATATATATATATATATATATATATAATTTTTTTCAGTACCAGGGATTAAACTCAAGACCTTGTGCTTGCCAGGCAAGTGCTTATTCTACTGAGCTATCTCCTTAGCCCCCTATATTTTATGCTGACGTGAGGCCTCAGGGGCCCAGGCTGGCTTGAAATTGTGATCCTGTTGCCTCAGCATCCTCACAGTGGTGTGAATCTACTATTAATGAATTCTTTCAGCATTTTTGTATCTGAAAATGTCTTTCATTTGTTTTTAAAAGAAACTAACAAGCTTTATTTTGGGAGCAGTTTTGATTCATAGAAATATTGGCCGGCAAGTGCAGAGTTCCCACATACTACCTTATACCTCCCTCCCTACCATCCAACATAACATTGCCACCTTAGATTAGCAAGCAAAGTCTGCAGTTTACATTGGTACTAACTTTTTGTGTTGCATTTTTTATGGGTTTTGACACATATGTAACATTTATCAGTTATTATTGTTCCTTGCCCTAAAAGTCTCCCCTGCTCCCCCATCAATCCCTTCCCCCTGAAGCCTTGGCAACCACTGATTTTTCCACTCTCTCCATAATGTCGCGTAGTTGGAATAATACAATGTGTAGCCTTTTCATTTGGTTTTCTTTCACTTAACTACCTGTATTTAAAGCTCTTCTATGTCTGCTGAGCATGGTGGTATGCACTTATAATTCTTTTTTTTTACACTTATAATTCTAACTACTCAAGAGGATGAGCCAGGAGGACTGTAAGTTCAAGGCTAGTGTGGGCAATTTAACAAGACCCTGTCCCAAAATAAAAAGGCCTGAGGATATAGGTTAGCAGTCTCTAGGTACAATCCTCAGTACTACAGAGAAAGACAAAGAAGTGTCTTTTTGTAGCTTGAAAGTTCATTTCGTGGGGCTGGTGAGATGGCTCAGTGGTCTAAAGAACAAGCTAAGAACAAGCTAAGCTAAGCACAGGGACCACGGTTCAATCCCCCAGCACCACATACCAGCCAGCTGTGCCCCCTGGTGGGCTGAGCTGGCCACACACACACACACACACACACACACACACTCTCACACAAATAACTAAATAAAAATTTAAAAAAAAATTAAAAACAAAAAAAAGAAAGTTCATTTCTTTAAAAAAAGTTTTAATAAAAATCATTTACATTTTTGGTACAGCACAATGTATACCACATCCTTAATTAGAAAGATTTTATTACATCTCTTTGACTCTTACAGCATGTATACTTACAGAGTACCATGTGATATTTATATCAGGATAATGTATCCAGCTCTCACATGGAAGGTTTAAAATAAAAACTTTTAAGAACTATTTGGCTAGACAGCTGACATACCAGGAGCTAAGCATTAGGAAAGGAGCTTGACTTTAGGTTTAAGAAATATCTTTTTGCCTTTAAGATAATTTTTAAGCATACTGAGTCAAACGTACCGTAAAGGATAATAAATTATAGTAGGCAGACCATAATTCCAAACCTTCTCCCACACAGCTAATGAACATACCGGTACAAATCATTTGTAAATTGGTAAATTTTTACCTATCACTCTGGTCTGCTGCTGGTCTTTTTAAAATTTTGATATCTGATGTCATTTCATTTGGCAGGAATTAGCTAACCTATATAACAAAAGGGTACAGTATAACAGTAAACATCTTTTAAAATTTTAAATAGCTTTTTTTTCAGTTTATCTTAACATTTAATAGCTTAATATTTAAAAGAAAGCGTTGGTTTGAATGTTGTCCATGTAAATTTTATTCTATCTTCATAAATACCTATGAATAAGATAGGCCTAGTTAATGATTTCCGCAGGTGATAAGGTGGCAGAATCAAAGAAAGCCCATAGCTTTGTCATTACATCAATTCTTTTATGCAGAGAAAATATGGCTTCATTCAGAAAATAATTTTATGCATCTAACACTGTTGATTACAGAAATAAGTAAAACATTGAGCTCTCTCAGTCAATATTCTATTAATATTCCGTTGCCTGTCTTACTTTGAGAAATTAGCCATATTTACTTTCTGTGCTCTCTCAGGCCTGCTAGGACAAAATACTCGACACCCAAAATGAAGGAAGAAAAGGTTTATTTAGCTCACAGTCCGTGAAGTGTCAGTCTATACCCAACTGGCTCCATGGCAGAGTGGCACATAGCAAAGAATAGCCTTTCATGGCAGGGGCAAGGAGCAGAGAGCAAAGGGAGTGGCAGCAGCTCTGGCAGCTAGCAGGCCTCTCTCCCCTCCTTACATTGTAATGCAAATGACCTGCCCCAGGGAGGGTGCAGCACCCATACCCACAGTAATCAATCATACACTCCAGAAGGCACCCCATGACTGCATGAGTCTTTGGGGGAACAAGTAGACACAAACCATAACACTCATATACATTTTAATTTCTATTTAACTCATGAACAAGATGTTAACAAAAACAGGCAGTATTTTAACAAGTCAAAAATAATCCATTTTGTTAAACAGATTGTTTGCATTTTATATAGTCTGTTTCCATTTTGTGTAATCATTTTTATATGGCTGTAATAAAGGTATATATTTTTAAAGTGATTAAAATGTTCTTTTTTTTTTACAGATGGCGGGTACCATTGATATGACTCTTCAAAGTGACATTATGACAATGTTTGAAAACAATTTTGATTGAAACTAAGCTTTTAAACTAACCATCAACTGGAAATGAGTGATATAAAAGATTAAAATGCATATGGTAAAATGATTGCTTTCAGACATGAAGATACCAATTTCATGTTGTATTTTGACTGCTCTAAAATGATTAAACAATTTCACTTACATTTTTAAATAGCTATATGTTTATTTTTAAGGTCAGTATAGGAAATTTTATGATTTGGATCCCTGAAAACTGAATAGTTTCCATATGTTATTCATTCTACAAATAATTGTCAGCAATGTATTAGATATTGTTTTAAGCAATGAAAATCCAATAGAGACTGCCTGATTGTTTTAAAAAGATGATGACTATATAAAAATATATAAAAAACATGGTTCCTGTTGAGTTTTTAACTTTTAAAACAAATATTTGTCTGTCTTCAGAGATGTTTGGAGCTTCTAACAAATAATACTTGGTTTCCTCGAGAGTCAGGTTATTTAAGATTCTCTGATGGTTTCATATTTAAGTTTCATATTGATATTTAATTTAAAGAAACATTACCTATGGTTGGAAAGATGTTGAATTTAGCCAGGTGTGGTGGTACACACTTACAATCCCGTACTTGAGAGATTAAGGAAGGAGGATCAAGGCAAGTTTGAGATCAGCCTACACTACGTAGTTAGTTCAAGGCTAGTCTGAACAGTATAGTGAGACTCTGTCTCGAAAAAAAGAAAAAAGAAAAAAAAAAGGTGTCAAATTTGAAGCGAAATAATAGGAAACAGTAATTATGTTTAAAAGTTTCTATAAGAATGTGTATTTCTTCATGTGTATATGTGATACCCATGTTTAATTTTATTTAACCCCTAGTATTTAATGTTCTGTATAATATTTTTGTTTTGTCATTTTTCAAGTTGCAATTTTGTATAAATCATGTATATTAACTTTGTGTATTTTAAAACTTTGAACTCTTGACTGTAAAATGACTCAGGCACTATTCTGATAAAAATTCAAAGTGTGTATTTTAGAGGAGTAAGTTTTTTGAACTTATTTTTATAATTAATGATAAACTGTAGAAATATCTTTAGACTGTTAGTCAATTAAAATGCGATTAACTGATAAAAGTAGTGGTGTTACCTTCATGCAGTGGCCAGAATTAAAGTAAGATAACTATTCTTATTCAGCTGTATCTATTTTTAATCAAGAAATCTGTATGTTTATGCCAAACACTATGTTTTATGTCATTTCTTTAAAAAACAAAAAAACAAAAAAAACTATAGGGAGATGTCATGAGTACCAGGTATAGTTTAACCAACTTGGCAGTTTGTCAAGCTTCCTCAGTTTTAATATGTTGGTTGAAGTCAGCTTAGCATAGAATAATATTGATTTATAACTGATCCCTCCTATAGTATATACCTTTTTAGTATAAGATTTTGTCATCTTCATTCAACAATGAGAAGTTTGGCTTCTCTTCTTGCATTTAACTTTCTTCAACTAAAGCCTGGTTTTGTGAGGACTGTCTTTTTTTTTTTTTTTTTTTTGAGGACCCTTTTTCTATCCTCAACTATCACTCTTCTCCAAGTTCTAACATCTTTTCATTTTGTTTTCTGGGATTCATGAATGACAGCAACATTACCGACATAGTTGACCCTCTTGTTTGTTTGTCTCTTTTTTTTTAAATTTATTTTTTAATGTATTTGCTACAGGGTCTCACTGTGGAGCTCAGACTCATAGTGATCCTCCTGTTTTCAGCCTCCCCAGCGCTGGGATTACAGGCATGCGCCACCATACCTGGTCTCAGTGGCTGGCTCAGCATGCCTGGGGGCAGGTCCAGTGTGGCATATGGAGGTGGGGAGCTAACTCTGATCCCTGAGCTTACCTAAGGAGGTGCTTAATCCACTGAACTATCTCAGCAGCCCCTCTGGTTTTGAGTTAATAATGTGCAACCCCTGCATCAGTTTTAACTGGAATGGTTTTAGAAATGAAAGTTCTCAGATTTTAGACTTAGCTAAATCAGAAATTCAGTGCCTTAAAAAACTCCATGATTTAAATTTTTCATGTCCTCAGACTACATTACTCATAGTCATTTAGCATCGCCTATTCCCTCCTTTGTCCCAGGGATGTCAGCTCAGTTGGCTTAGATACTTTTGTGCTAATGATCTTGATTAACAAGATTAGTGCTAGCACCCACCCCTTTGCCTCTGCCAGCTTCTGAAACCTTGCCTTGGTCTCCATTTCAAACATCTCTCACTGTCTCCACCTGTATTTTTCCAGCTTACTCTCCATAATCCTTGATTCCAACAATGCTTAAACCTTCACAGGGCCTACAATCCATCAATTCTTTTCATAGTGCTTCCCAGGGTTATAGCTCAGTGGTCGAATAGGTAGGTATTTAGGTTGTGCAAGGCCCTGAGTTCCGTTCTGAACAAAAAAACCCCAATACTTCCCCCTTTCATGCCCTCACTTGTGTATTGTCCTCTAAGTTTGTAGCACATTATTATAATCACTTCTTTGCATACCCTCTTGACTCCTTTGTTCCTTTCTGTGTTGTACTCTCCTTGCTAAATTCAAATCCTTAAGAAATCTGACCCCTGGCTCTGCACCCATTGAGCTGAATGTGCTGAAAGATGTGTGACCATGATAACAACTCTCGCTTTAGATTTCTGAGCACAAACTCCAATGAGGCTAGGAACTTCAGTACGTCTCCATGATTTGCTCTCTCTCCCTCGACAACCAGCTATTTCATATGTACATTCTACTTCACACCTCCAACCAAAAAGCCTCGCTTTTCCTGTGTGTGCTACCTATTTCTCACTGCTTTTGCACTGAGATAACAAGTCATTTATTCAGAATTTTGAGTTTCCAATGCCACATCTGTGCATAGGTTCTATTCTCCCTTGTGTCACTAAGGAAGGACTGTTCATACAATGTTTAGGCAAATTTCTGAATAGTTTTTTGCTTCCCCAAGGACACTGCTCCAGCAATTGTGATACCCATGATCAGTATTCTCTCCTGTAGATAGTTATTAGCATACCAACTTTTCTGAAAGAATTAAGAATGTGTGATTTCTTTCTTTATGTTGGTTCTCTACTTCACTGGCATATTCTTTTGTCCCCTGTAATTTTAAAAATTAAGACAAAAATTCACCCCCCTCCTTTTTTTTTTTTTTTTTGGCAGAACCAGGGATTGAACTCAGGCCCTTTCACTTGCCAGGGAAGCGCTTATTCTACTGAGCCATTTCCCTGGCCCAAAAATTCACCCTTTTAAAAAGCACAATTTATTGTTTTTAAGTATAGTCATTAAAGAAAAATCTTATTTACAAAATTTTTTCATAATTCTTTATATATTCTGCATTAGAATTTTGTATTACAAATATTATCTACTTCTGCTTAAACACTTATTTATAATCAGGTAGAAAACAATAGAACCAACTTGCCAGCTCAAAAATCAAGTCATTTATACATGAATGTTATATCTAATTGTTAATTTCATTATGCACTTAATCACAAACTTTTTAGATATATGTTAAATTTAAAAAATGTGAAGACTTTAAGAAAGCTTCCCTCTATCCCTACTTTGAAGAGATCAAGGCTTGTATATTACTCTACCTTTATTCTAATCCAAATACAGAAGATTTGAGGGACTTGTTTTGACAAAAATATGGCCATTTATATATTTTATTTAATGTATCATGAATATCTAATCAGATCATTACATGACTATATTCTATAATTTTATAAAAACTGTACATAATTAGTACATAGACCTGTATAAACAATCCTCTGGTCGCAGTTGCTTACCACCTTTTTCTATGAATAGCACTGAAGTCAATAACCTGATAGTACAGCTTCTTGCATTTGTGCAGCTGTTTATAAATGATCAATTTAAGCTCATAAAAGTGGGGTCTGTGGGTCAGAAGGGTACAGCCCAAGAAAATAGCTTTAATTTTAATAGATACTGTCAGATAAACTGTGCCCAAAAATAGTAAAATGATAAATATTCTTTAAAGCTTGAAATACTACTTTCTCATTATCTTCATCATTGGAAGTTCTTACCCTCATTTTTTATTAAAGTGAAAAACTTTTGATTTGTTTCTTTCATTTGCATGACTACAAATGAAGTTGATAACCTTATATTTGTTTGCCATGTGAGTTATCTGATCATTATTTTTAGATTTTTGCTTACTAACTTGTACAGTTTCTTGTTTTAGCTTTTTTTATATTGGCCCTTTGTTTTAGAAATATTTTTCCCCATATATTATTTGTCTTTGAAGCTTTTTTCCCATTAAAATTTTAAATTTTATGTAGTCACATATCTGGCTTTTTCTTTATGTTATCTAAATATTTTGTCCTCCACATCAAGTTGGTAAAATACTTTTACACATTTTTGTGCTTAAAATCCAGATGCATTTTTTACACTTGAATTACAGTGTATTGAAGATGATTTTTAATCTGTGATTATGAGGTTACAGGGCTTTCTTTCCTTCCCAACAAATTCAGTTATGCTGCTACAATTTATTTATTGAATGTCTGAATTGCATAACAATTACTGATAAATTTATAATACATTAACATTGAATGAATTTAAAGACTATTAAGACTATAGCTGAAATTAGATTAGAATTACATTTATAGGCCTACCAATTTTATGTCCAGCTTTACAAATATGCCCTCTGCATGTGAACCAATTTTTGAGCACTACAGTCTCAAAAGAAGCAAAGAAGTTCTCTCTGGTTGGTCATCCTAGAACTAGTTCGGAATTAGTAAACAACTGGGATGGCAGCACTGCCTCCAAGTCAGATGCCTAGTGCCATGTTAGCATGCTAGTTGTGTCATGGGGCACTGGCAAGTTGGAAAAGTTGAAGGAAAATCTTCAAAAGGCTAAAGGCCAAAACTACAGTGAGACCAGACATTGTAACACAACCTTTTACCCTACTCTCCCCAGGTTTCCAGAGAATAGCCATTTGTAAAATGTTTCTGAGAATAAGACTCTTTCACAGAGATAGAGAGGGAGATTTGGAAAAAAATGAAACTTCTAGAAGAGCAATTAGATATGGTGAAGAAAAAAATACATGAGCTAGGATTGAGGGGGAGTAGTCTAGTGGCAGAGCACTTACCTAACTAACACGTCTAAGACCCTAGGCCCAGGCCATAGCACTACCAAAAAAAAAAAAAAACAAAAATAAGAACAATAAACTAGAAGATATCCAAGTAAATATGCCAGTTTGCAGCATAGAGAGACAAAGAGAAGGAAGATGTAGAAGACATATTGAGAGACTAGAATGCAGAGTTGACAAGCCATGACCCAAAAGGTCCAGTTTGTTGCTTGGTTTTATAAAGTTGTATTGAAGTACAGCCACCTTCATTTCTTTACATGTCTATGTTTTCTTTTGTACTATAAAGTTCAGTAGTTGTAACAATAGTTCAGTATTGTATGGCCCTGAAAATCTAAAATACCTGCCATCTGATCTCTAATTGAGAAAGTGTCAGGCGATTTACCAACCATTGATCTAGAAGAAAAATGTACTGAGAGCTCTAATTTGAGAAATTAATTGTAATTTTATTAAAATTGAGAAAAGTGAGTCATTTTATCCTGGAATTACAGTATCCTAAACAGAATAATGAAAAATTAATACTTCAAGACAATTTTCAGTGGCAATACCACTATAAGCAAAGAAAATTTTGTAAGCAGACAGGAAATTGGAGCTATTAAGGAGTTTATTTTTATTTCATCAAGTAGAATTAAGGAGTAGCTGGAAACAGAATAAATCCAAGCTACTTGGGAAGCTGAGGCAAGAGGATCAAAAATTTGAGGCCACTCTGGGTAACTTAGTGAGACTGTCTCAAAAATAACATTTTAAAAGGCCACAGAGATGTGATTCTGTGATCGAGCATATGTGGAACATGTAAGGCTCTGGATTTATTCACAAGACTGAAGAAACAAAAAAACAAAGTGAATTTTCAAAGGTTTTGAGGGGGAAAAAAAGTGACAAAATGAAATGTGGAGAACTTGGACGGTTTTTTTTTCCTAGCATAAAACATGCATGCATTAATCTGTGTTTGTTTGGTTTTGCATAAATGGCTTTTCTCTGCTGCAATTTCTCTTTTGACAATGTCCTATAGGGCATAGCTAGTTATCAGTGACTGAC